GTTGGCTGTCTATATTTACCTATTAATTCCCTTGTGTTACTGTAAAGGTCACTGATGTTTCCTTTCGCTGCTTTGGTCCCCGCTTCTTGTGCTAGGTCATGTAAATATTTCCTTTTATCTGCCCTTATTCGCCTCCTTACTTCCATATTAACATCCATGTATTTTTCCTGAGCTCTAGCTTTGGAAGCTGTAGTTTTGATATTGTTTAAGTCTGCTTTTTCATGTTCCTTACTTTATTCATTTTAATGGTTTCTGGTGTTCTCCACGCTTTATGTTTCTGTTCTTTCTTACCAAGGACTATACACAAGATTTTTTCTAGATTTCATTGATCTGATCCCAGCATTCAGTGCTTACATCATCAGCTGACTGCTGCAACACCCGGTACTTATCAGAGACTATTACTGAAAACTGTTCCCTAACTTCTTTATCCCTGATATAATCTACATTGTACTGGTTTCTATGATTATAAGATGTTATATATCTTTTGAATTTCAACTTCAATTTTCTTACTAACAGAAAATGGTCAGAAAATACATCAGCACCTTGTATGATAAAGGGATGATCTAAACTTTATGTTAATTTTAAGGCGTTCAATTTGATTGGTTGTCTTATGGTCTGGTGATTCCCATGTTGTATTGTGTGTTCTTGCCTCTGGTGACATGCTTCCGCAAAAAATAACATACTGGTTTCTTGTACACTGATTGATGAATAATTCTCCTTTCTCATTGATAACTCCTGGACCATGTTTTCCCATAATCTCTTCATAACCTGTGTTATCTTATCGTATCTTGACACTCAGGCCACCCATTAACATTTTTATATTGCCCTTTCTTTCATTATTTAAAATATTTTGAAGGTGCATGTAAAATTCCTCCTTAAATGATGTATCTTTATCATTTGTTGATGCATTACACTGTATTATCGAGATGTTCACCTATGTTTCGCTGTCCTAAATTATTCTAAGACTCACAGCTTCCCATTCTGTTAGTCACCTCTATACTTCTTTTGATACCTATAATGTAAGTAGCGTAAATTTTAATGTAAGTAAAATTGCAATGTAAGTGAAATCAAGTTATAATGTCTATAGACTAAAGTTGTAATGTGAGTAAAGTTATTATGTATGTTAAGCTAACTTGAAATATAAGTAAAGTAATTTATAATATAAGTAGAGAAAGTTGTAATGTAAGCAGAGTGAAGTAAACGTCATAATGTAAATAAAGCAAAGTAACAATGTAAGTACAGTTTTTATGTAGGTAAAATAAAGTAACAGTGTAAGGAAAGGAAAGTTACCGTGTAAGTAAAGCACAATTATAATACAAAAAAATGGTATAGTGTAAGTAAAATAGAGTTATAATGTAAGTAAATTTATGGTGTAAGTAAAGTTGTAATGTAGGTAAAATTAGGTTATCACGTAAGTAGTGTATTTATTAAGTAAGAGAAATAGTGTTACGATGTGTGTATAGTAACGTATGAGGGCGGCATTAGTATCATGGCTAAATGTTTGCCATCCAGCCTGAAGATTTCGGGCTAAAATAATCTTCCTTCCGTCAGTTTTTCCTTTCGGGTCGCTGTCTGAACATTCGAGGACATTCAGACTTAAAATCTCCCATCCTGGGTGACAAACCAACTGGGCAAATACCTGACAGCCCGTTCAACCTCTAAGTAAGTTATAATTAGGGCACCCACAACGACTACAACAGACGTGCAATCTCACGTGCAGTCTTTTGCGGCTAAGGGTGGCTTAAGGTAACCTTCACTGATTAGAATCAGCATCGATGAGCATTTTTGTGTAAAATTTTATCATAGAAAGAAAGAAAACCGAAAGAAAAGTAGACCAACAAGCTTAAGAATATAACAAATAAAAACGAAAAGTGAACGTTGTGGCTAAAGAGCCTTCATCAGCACATCGTACGTCAAACGAAAGCACACGAATACACACAACTCATTTAACTGGCGTATCCCGAAGCATCCACGTTGATGTCTTACCTGTGGAATGTATAATCTTGGTTCACATCTCGATCCAGTTTAGAATGTTATGAGGAAATATGCAGGAAAAGGAATGCATAAGACCTGCTGGTGACCTTATCATTCATCTAGTCTACAGATTTAGGGATCGAGCACTCCATATTCTTTAGCGAGAAAATTGTATTTTACTTCACTTTACTTTGCTATCCTAGTCGAAATTTTGAGAGCATGCATCTTCTCTGTAACGACTCATAAATGTGAATCGTCGACTATCTCGAATCATTAGGGAAGAAAACAGTGGCTTCTGACCTGAAATGATATAGAACGATTCTCATAATACATAGACAAGGAAGAAGAGAAATACCGACATTTTGAAAGATCTCATTATCCAGGAAGATTGGCTAATACACAGCATCGTGACTCAGAAACGGAAAAATGTCAGCTGCATGAAAAGACCGTGACGGAAGCGGAAATAAAGCAGAAAAGGCATGGTACCAGGAAAGAGAGAGAGGACCCAACCAGCCCGAAAATGAGCACACAATATAAGTGAGACTTTGGCTAGGAGAGGGTATGTGGCGGGGAAGGTGGCGAGAGACCGAGTTTCTGTCTGGCAGACAGTGATGAGATCGAAGTTCTGCAACGGACATGGTCCATGATATATGTAATAGCCACTGCCAAAGTCACCCAGTGGTCAAGGAAAGAAAAGGAAACGAGATTCTTGACTATCTGTGGTCATGACAGGGATAGGTGTCAGCAAATCTTGAATTACTTGTAGGGACAGATCCACAAAAATTGCACACGAGAACCGGAAGACGCCATCTGTGGTTCATACACGTGACCTTCAGAACGCGTTGCAAACGTCTAAATCCGGCTCGTCAAACTGAGGGTCCACCAGGAGCCGTATGGGTCACATTTTTGTTGTCACGACGACCAGTAAAAGTGAGGTTAGTCTCCCCAGAACCCGCCTATATACACACCAGCTCACTTCTTATTGATAGTTCCTGAGCCCGTGACCTGCACATAAGGTTACTGGGGTGTTCCACAATGGCTTTAATATCGCGTGTTGTATATTTCAGCCCGCCAGCGCTTTCAACACTCCAAAAACATGGAGAAGATAGCTCTAACACAACCCCTCTAGAGAGTGTCGCAACCTATGTCACAGGTATTTTTTTTTTTCTCGGAATGTAAACGTAAGTGCAAGACATCCCAGAAACCAAACAACAGAGCGGGATACACTCGTAACCTTCAGGAAAGTCGACCATCCCAAAAACTTGTGAATGAAAAGTTAGTCTTTCCTCTTGTGTCGAGTGCGGCACATAGGGCAGAGGTCATGACTCTCCATGCACGGCGGTCCGTTGCAATCCGTTGTAGGTCTTGGATGTTTGAGTGGCCCATGAGCGAGCCTTCCCTGATGATAGTTCGACGTAGGGTTTCCCTTGGTCTTCCACGAGATCTTTTCCCCTGTGGTGTCCAAATGAGGGCTTGGTAAGGAAGTCTTGATTTATCCATTCTAAGGGCGTGGCCGACATAGTTCCAGCGGCGTTTTCGTATAAAATTAGACACATACTCTTGCCTTGATTCTTGTCTTATTTGTGTATTGGTTCGGAAATCTGACCATTTGAAATTTAGTATTCTTCTAAGGCATTTATTTTCAAAACTGTCTAATTTTGTGTCTAGAGTTTTCGTTGATTTCCAGCTCTCGCATCCATAGGTTAGTACTGGATTCACACAAGAATTGAAGATCTTGAGTTTTGTGTGTTTGCTAAGTGTCTTTGATTTCCAGATGTTAGACAGTTTATTGAAGGCACTAGATGCCAGTGCTATTCTAAATGATATTTCTGGTGTGGTATCTCCTGTAGATGATATCTTGCTCCCTAGATAAGTGAATGAAAAGTGGCCTACTCTATTTGGGGAGACTAACGTGAACCTAATCACGACAGCCACACACGACAACAATCTAAAGTCATTCATCAGAAATAAGTGCGTAATTTTTATCGCGAACTGTCGGCGTGCTTTCGAAGAGCCGCATGCGGCCTCTGGGTCGCGTGTTTGACGTGCTTGATTTAAACCACTTTGTCACGACTGCTGAACCACTGTCCGTTAGCAACGTGAGGTAAAACTAATGTTTCGCTACCCAGATCCCGCCCATATACACACTACCTCGCTTCTGATTGGTAGACCTAGAGCTACGTGACTTGGCACAAGGTTACATTGATGTTCCGCAATGCCCTTGATATCGCGTGTTGTATATTTCAGCACGCCAGCGCTTTTAACACTCCAAAAAGAAGGACAAACTTTGTCTAAAACAACCCCCTACCCCAACCTATGTCACAGGCATTCTCTTTATCGGAATAAAAACGTAAATACCATACAACGCACAAAGCAAACAACAGAGCGGCACATCCGTAACCTGCAGGAAAGTAGACCAGCCCAACAAACTTGTGAATGAAACGTGAACTACTTTGTTTGGGGAGACTAACTTAAACCTGACCGCAACGTGAATGGTCTTTTTGTTTGTTTGTTATTTTGTGCTATCACAGTTTCAGAAAAATGTTTGTTGCCTATTCTTTACACGAAGTTGCAGTCAACTTTAAGTAGCCATAGCATACTGAACTGATATTTACTGTCAGAAAAAGCACGTTGTGCAGATGCGTGATCATCCACGCCGGTCAGAAATACACATTTTCCCACAATCATCAACTTAGCTTTGTACACACACGTTACAGTTAAACCATTGAGGAATCTAAACAAGTTTAGTCTTAAAAAATACACAGTTTGCTGTATCCCGCCAAGTGCATTACCACAAAGTTACATTATGATATAATGAATTACATTTTAAAAACAAATCCTTTTCATTGAAATACACAAAACAGCACTCTCTTCTTCGACTACTATATGATCAACACAGTCACATGTTTTTAAAATTTACCACATTCTCTTTCTGTTTGCACACTGCCCATTAATTCACTGCTTCTCCTTGTTTTAGTAAAAGCCTATAAAATTAACCGATTTGTCTATCTTTTTTTTTTCCACAGCGTCGGCCTTCTTTTCCCCAAGGAGCTGTCGACTGGAGATCGCGGCACAAAGTTGTGCCAGAAGGCAAAAAGCGCCAAGGAAGAAGAAAACCCATCTCAGCATGTTTTCTTCCCGAGAGTGAGGAGGATGGACAGAATGACCTTAGTCCAGAGAGAATGTCCTGGCACGAACGTTCGTGTCCTTTCTACGAGTCTGACAAAGAAAGGAGCCATCACCTTACAGCTGATAACAACAGTATTGATAGCAACAAAAAAAGGTACAGCGACAACGTCGCAGCGCCGGCCTCTGATTTATTCAACGAACCATCACTTTCATCAAGTCTATCGATAGTTGAATGCAACTGCCGATTACAAAAATCAGACACATTGCAAAATAATAACAACATCGACGAAGGTGGGGATAACCGCGACGAAGCACACAAATACAACGACGAAGAATGTGTTAGAAATCGAAAACCCAAGAGAAAAAAGAATAGAAATATACGAGAAACGGTTATCATTAATGTTGGCGGCCAGATTTTTGAGACCTACAAGTCAACTTTAACTCGTCTAAGAACGCCAGTGTTTCATTCAGACACTCTCGAGTTGTACTATCGAAAGTCTCATAAAGATTACTTCTTTGACAGAGATCCGTCAGCTTTTGGATCCATTCTGAACTTTCTGAGGACCGGAGAGCTGCACATCCCTACTAATATGTGTGGTCCAGCTTTACAGGCAAGTGCTAGTTAATGTGTTGGATTGTCGTGCATGTTTGGCATCGTCTAAAGTAGTCTCAGCAAACGGAGAAAACGGAAAAAGGGGGGGGGGGGGGATTTTACCATCATTTTCTATCTTTCTTTTGTTTTCTTTATTTGCTTTAATTGTATTTTTTCGTTTCATTCCTTCTTTATTCATTACATGCTTCAAAAACTACTTTTTAAACAACATTGATTTTCCTATCAATTTATTATTACCGTTTTTAGTGGATTTGCCCTACAAACTAGTGCTTTTTTGTTGTTGCAAATGCTGATGTATATGAAGAAGGGTAACAAAGAAAGAATTCATCATAACACTGTTGCGTTTTTTTTAGACTGTAACGTCTGTTTCCTCATTCCGTGAAAATGAAACAAATTGTCCCTCACGGTTGAAACTGTAACTAGTGCGTACAAAACTAAAAAGATTATTATGTGGTAATGTGTCCTACACAAGGGAAATGAGGTGTCTGAGAAAGGCAGTAGGAGTGACCAGAAGAGATAAAATCACGATTGAGGTCATACGAGATAAAGTCAGCACAGAACCAATTCTAAATTACATAGAAAGACAGCTAATCAAAATGATTGCAAGAGAATTCTTCTGATACTATACCATACAAAGCATTTACCAAAAGAGGAGAGGGACGTAGAGCAAGAGGCAGACCAAGAACAATATGAAAGGATAACATCAGAGAAACACTACAGCACCACGACGTGTCTATGGTCGAAGCAGCCAGAACAGCACGAAGCAAGACCTTATATCTCCCTCTACGCCTGTAGCGGTAAAAGAGGACGTAAAGAAAAAGAAGAAGAAAAAGAATGTGTCTCGCTGACTGGCGTGGACGATCATACTTCAGCCCTTCCTGCGATTGTTAAAAGTACATCACAGTTCGTATAATGACAGTCTGCTTTGCCATGACAAAACAGCTGTCAAAAACTTTGTAACTTTACTTACATTATAACTTTATTTCACATAAATTATAATTTACGTAATTCTACTTACATAATTACTTTACTAACATTATAACTCTTCTTCGCTCTACTTACATCGTAACTGTACTTGCATTATAAATGTTCACTACTGTGCTTACATTAACACTTTACATACAATATAACGTTTCTTTACTTAAATTATAATTTTACCTACGTGACTAATTAAAAAAATTGGTTACCAAATACACACACATACATACAATCATACCTATATTCATATTAAACTATACAATTTAGTTTCATATTTTATTCAGACCAGAAGCAGCTGTATCGTTGCCAGTGCAGATTACAATTTCTTTCAAGTCATCTTTACTGCTCGTTTGATCTGTCTGTCCATGATATTCTCTTCATCTTATTTGTCGCGCGCCCAACGTGGGTAAATACACTGATATAGTGAGGGTGTGGGTTTGAACCTTAACAATGCCCACCCACGTGAGAAACTGGACTATTATCTAAGCTATGTTGATCCTAGACAGTCCTGGATAGCCAAGAAAACAGCGAGTGGCTCGTTCCATGAAATGAAAGTTGCTGTACTTGTATCCACAGGAGAAGGAGAAGGGATAGATAGATATCTGGATAAACCCACTGTGATATAATCCAGGTGCTCAGTTAACCCCTGCGACTGGTCTCCTCTCCTGGCATTGCTTAAAAGCCCCCATCATTCATTCATTCATTCAGTAGCATGTCCCTCGCGGAACCTCGCTGCCATAACAACCCTCCGGAAAACCTTCCTATCATGAGCAAGATGTCCTGCGTCTGATACACCCATCTGGAGATCATCTGCCACATCCTGCACCCATCTTCTCCTTGGCCTTCCTCTTCCTCTCTTCCCAGGCATATACCCCTCCATTATTGTTCTCTCTAGACCTCCATGACGTTTCAAGTGACCAAAATATTTCAATTTTCTTTGTTTTATTGTCTTTACTAGCCAACCCTCTTCAATATTCAGCTCTTGAAGTATGGATGCATTTGTTCTTTTCTTTACCCAAGATATTCTTAGAACCTGTCTGTAACATTTATATTCAAATGCATTTATGCGCTGTTCCGCTTGTTTAGTAAGTGTCCAGGTCTCACAGGCGTATGTTGCAATGGGAAAGATGCATGCTCTTAAAAATCTGACCTTTGTAATTCTATCTGTACAATTCCATAATTTATTCAGTTGTTTTAGTCTTTGAAGAGCAATTGATAGTCGCCGTTTAATTTCTTTCATTGTGTCACCATTGTTGGTAACCAGTGACCCAAGATATTCGAAATTTTTCCACCACTTCCAATCTTTCCTCATTAACATATATTTCTTTTCTCCATGGCAGTTTTGTTTGTATGCATTATCTTTGTTTTTGCTGTGTTAAGAAATAAGTTATGATTTTCACTATTTCTTTGGAGTGAGGTTAATAAGTTTTCTAAACCATTTTGTGATGTTTGATAGTAATACTGTATCATCAGCATAACGAATTTCTGGTATTTCATGACCACCGATGTTTAGGGCATCATATTGTTCCTTGTTTATATCATCTCTTACATTTCTCATTATATTTTCGGCGTACAGGTTGAACAAATACGGTGACAGCACACATCCCTGACGGACTCCTTGCTTGATGCCAAACCAGTCTGATGTCTCTCCATCTATTCTGACTGCTGCTTGTTGGTCTTGATAGAGCATTTTAATGAGCTGCACTATATGTGATGGAAAGCCCATATCCTCATGATTTCCCAAAGCTTCTGATGTTGTACACAGTCAAATGCTTTTGAATAATCCACAAAACATAAGAACAGATTTACATTAAATTCTCTACACTTCTCTATTATTAAACGCATGTTAAATATATGATCTCTTGTTCCTCTTCCCTGTCTAAATCCAGCCTGAGCTACATTAATCTCTTCTTCCATTTTCTTTTGCAGTCTTCTCATTATAATTTTTAGTAGAATTTTACTTGCATGACTGATCAGGGCAATAGTTCGATAGTTTGTACATAATTTCAGGTCACCCTTTTTTGGTATTGGAATGAAGATAGTTCTCTTCCAGTCTTTTGGCCAAATACCATATTTCCATATCTTTTCACATAAAAAGCCCCCATCAAGTGATTTAAATATTTGTTAGCTGAAGTAAACTAATATGCACAAAGACACTTGAACCTAAGTACACAATTTACGCAACTATGTTTAAACAACATCAAAAAGATTTATTTAATAAATCTGACTAAAATAAAATGAACTAGTTTAGGCTAGTAGAGTTGAGATGATGTGAATGATGAAATCATAAAGGTATTGGAAAGTAACAACCTTTGGACAGTTCTCGGCTTGAGACCCTGTCTATTCATTCCCAGTTTGTCGTCCTCACTGCTTTCTGCAGGTCGTTACACTCGACGGTCGGCAAATAATGGACGCCTACTAGTCCCTGCCCAATGTGGGAACTGGAGAATGAAGAAACAAGCGCATATTTGTAGTATCAGCTCTAGATGTACACTAAAAANATTACGCCTAAAATCATTCTTATTCAAGGATGTCACAGCTCCTCCCTTGTGGGTGTATATTCACTGTCAGTCAGTGACTACAATTATTGTTTGAATTCCCACGCTAGGATCTCCTGGTTCAATTAAGCTGGTCAAAGCTAATAGGCCAAGTCACACCTCCGCTCTACTTCACCTGTCATCACAATAAAATCAGATTTTGTCAATTCTTCTGCCAACACTTTCAGCTCACCATGTCAATAGTGCCCGTCGGACCGGCACTCCAGTTTAGGTAACCTCAGGGGGAGATAATGGCAATTAGCCCTTGTTATCTGTCCCTGAAGGTCTGGCAGGGGGAATAACTATCTGACACCAACAAATGGTGTGCAAATCTCCAGTCAGTAAGTCTGCTTGGTCAGTCTTATCTATGTACCTTAACACTTAACATCTGGGAAAAAGTTTTAGTGTTTGATATGACCAACAGTCCAGGAGAAGTAAGTGTTTGATGTGGTCGTCTTACTTAGATTAAGGATGTATCCAAAACCATTTATTTCGGTATACTTCGAAACACAAAGGAATAAAAGTAGGTTAAGGAAAGACATTCTGGAGTCACCGAGCGTATTGTCACATTATTCTTTCTTCTTTTCTCTACTCCCGGAATGCCTCCCGGCGTCAAGACAGGGACAGATGTATGTGATATTCCTAGAAGGCCACAACTGAACTAGACTATCACAATCAGACTAGTTTAACACAGCTTCCACTCTAGGATGTCCGAAACTGACCCTGAAACTGATTATCACATCCGTCCATGATTTTCACATACGTCCATGATTGTTGTCATCCGTCTATGATTTTTTCTATCTATGTATGATATTCTCATCTGTCATTGATCTTCTCATCTGTCCATGATTTTCTCATCCGTGCATGATTTTCTCATCCATGATTTTTCCTTCCGTCCATGATATTCTCACCTTTCCGTCATTTTCTCATCTGTCCCTGATTTTCTCATTCGTCCATGATTTTCTTATCCTTCCATGATTTGCTGATCCGTCCATGAATTTCTCATTTATCCATGATTTTCGCATCCGTCCATGATTTTCTCATCTGTCCAGGATTTTCTCATCCGTCCATGATTTTCTCAACGACTATGATTGTCTTTTAAATTTATGATATTCTCATCTGTCATTGATTTTCCCATCTGTCCATGATTTCCTCATCCATGATTTTCTCACCCGGACATGATTTTCTCATCTGTTCATGATTTTCTCATTCGTCCATGATTTTCTTATCCGTCCATGATTTGCTGATCCTTCCATGATTTTCTTATTTATCCATGATTTTCTCATCCGTCCATGATTTTCTGATCCGTCCATGATTTTTTTTCAACCGTCCAAGATTTTTTCTCATCCGTCTATGATTTTCTCATGTGTCCACGTTTTTCTCATCCGTACATGATTTTCTCATCTATCTATGATTTTCTCATCAGTTCATGATTTTTTCTCATCCGTCCATAAAACCACACCTCTGCCACTTTCACATGGATGTTTCACTAATCAGAAAACTGTCCATGATTTAGAATGTAGTTTCATTGAAATGTTCTGTTATGTTGTATTTCTCGATTCATGTGGACAGAACGAGCTGGCATTCTGGGGCATTGAGGAGACAGACATCTCCAGATGTTGCTGGACACAGTATAACACCTGGAAGACCCAGTGTCGGTCGCTGGAAAAGCTGGAGAACGATCGAAAGTTTTCAACAACGCAAGAGGTAAGTACGGTAAACTGTCTCGTGCTCAGAGGGTCGTGGGTTAATTTCAGGGCGGCATCGTTAGGTTCACGAGTGCAATTTTTTCACAGACATTCCTGGGGATTGTCGCCGGAGCTGCGGAGTTCGTGCTTCATGTGATGCTCTTGGCAGGTAGCTAGCTGTTCTGTGGAGACAGACCAAGTTACATGGGATACAATCCAGTGCAATGAAGTCGACCCTCTAACGTTTAACAATTTATTATTATTAATGCTTACATAAACAAGGTTTAAGGCCACAGAGAGCTTTCACGGGTGCTTTCTTTTTAGTCGACCACAAATTACGTCACGGGACAGACCTACATTTTAGAGGGTGGTAAGAGCAGGTTTTCCATAGTTTCTGTGTTTTAGCACGTTTCTTCCAAGGTCAATGGCCAGGAACATTTACCTAACCCTAACCATAATCCTAACCTTGAAAAAAGCTATACACATAATCTACCACCCCCTGAAATATTTGACTGTCCCGTGACCTGTGGATTTACCATATTTGTGGTCGGCTAATAAGAAACTACACTCCCACGTCCTAGAAAAATATAAGGGGTTGTACCTTTCCTCCCACCCTATGTTTTCATTTTTTTCCAGTTTATACAACATATTATTTGCTTTAAACAACATAAAATGTGACTAGAAAGCTGAAGCCCGGAAACTGAAAAGATACGCAACGAAAAGAAACCGAAAGTTTCGACCAAAGTCTTTATCGATTGACGAGTACTAAATAAACACAAACTGTGAAAGAAATCTCTCTTCCTGCCCTGACACTGAGAGGCATTCCAGCAGAGAAAAGAAGAAGAAGAAAGGTGTTTAAGTTGATCAAAAGTTGAGGAATTTCCATAACACTCAAAATGACCCAGAATTTCTGATAATTACATTTATAATGTTAGAACAAAAAATGTACGTTGGCCAGCATAACCTCCACCCTTGGATGTATATTTTATCTATACCATCAACACAATAAAAGTATATTTGCATGCATATTACATATTTAAATATTCACCACAAATTTTACCCGTTGAGTAACTGAGGCGTATCCAACTGACGCATCTGATGATGGTCTTGATATTTTCTAGTGTCCACGGGCGGTACTCATTTGTGGGAAGTAAATAATTGATGAAAGATGAGACGAAATTAAGATCATGCAGTGACACAAGGGAATGAAGCCTAAGCAAACTAGACGGGGCGTAGGATAATGTCAGGACTTCTGTTGACCTACAGGCGGAGAGTGTTTCCAGTTTTTCGGTAACGGTCAGGTTATGCTATATGCTCCGCCATTTTATGGGGCAAGTAATGCTATCTGGTGTAGCCATTCTATGAGGTCAAGCTATGCTGCAAGGTTCGGCCAGAATATAGGATAGGCTATGCTATAAGGTCGTTCCATGCTGCAAGGCCTAGAAATGCAATAAATTCTAGCCATGTCTATGCTATTCTATGAGGTCAAGCTATGCTACAAGGTTCGGCCAGAATATAGGATAGGCTATGCTATAAGGTCGTTCCATGCTGCAAGGCCTAGCAATGCAATAAATTCTAGCCATGTCTATGCTATTCTATGAGGTCAAGCTATGCTACAAGGTTCGGCCAGAATATAGGACAGGCTATGCTTTAAGGTCGTTCCATGCTGCAAGGTCTAGCAATGCAACAAAGTCTAGCCATGTCTATGCTATTCTATGAGGTCAAGCCATGCTATAAGGTCAGGTCATGCTACAAAGTGTAGCCTTGCAATAAGGTCACGCCATGCTATAGCGTAAGCCATGCTATGAGGTCCAGCTAGCCTGTAAATTCAAGCTATGCTACAAGGGCTAGTCTTGCTATAGGATTTAGTCATGCTCTAAGGTCAGATCCAGCTATAAGGTTCAGCTATGCTGTAAGGTCCAATTATGCTATTGTCTAGTCATGCTATAAGGTATAGTCATGCTTAAAAGCCCACTCGTGCTACAAGGGCCAGACATGCTGTAAGGTCAAGTCTTGCTATAAGGTCCAGTCATGCTATAAGGTCTAGTCGTGCTATAAGGTATAGTCATGCTATAAGGTCTAGCTATGCTATACTGTATATTAGTGCTATAAGGTCAAGTAATGATATAAGGTCTAGTCTATGGTCTAGTCATGTTATAAGGTCTAGGCATGCTATAAAAAAATGCTATAAGGCCTAGTTATGCTATAAGGCCAGACATGCTATAAGGTCAAGTCTTCCTATGAGGTCCAGTATTGCCCTAAGTTCCAGTCATGCTATATGGTCCAGCTATGGTATGAGGTCAAGCCCTACTATAGTTTAAGCCATGCTATAAGGCTAAGCCATACTACTGGTTAAGCCATGATATAAGGTCTACTCTTGCTCTAAGATTAAGTTATGCCATAATGCCCAGTCTTGCTATGGGGTCTATCCATGAATTACTACAAGGTCTAGTTTTTCTATCAGGTCCAATCATGCTATAAGGTACAGTCTTGCTATAAGGTACAGCCTTGCTATAAGGTCAAATATTGCTCTACGGTCCAGTCTTGTAATAAGGTCAAGTAAAGCTATAAGGTCTAGACATACAATAGATTTATAAAATCTAGCCATTGCTGATTCACTAGAGTCTTCATTGTACCATCATCAAATATCTGCTTTCTCTGCTCGCGCAACTATAGACTTAGCAGCAACAACAGCAGTAGTAGCAGCGGCAGCTGCAGCAACAGCTGCAGCAGCAGCAGCAGCAGCAGCAGCAGCAGTAGTAGTAGTAGTAGTAGTAGTAGTAGTAGTAGTAGTAGTAGTAGTAGTAGTAGTAGTAGTAGTAATCGCAGCAGCATCAGTAGCAGCAATAGTAGCCGTAAGTCTAGCAGTGGTATTTCTAGCGCCGTTCAGTGTTAAATCTTGCCATATCACTGGCAATTCACGACCTACAAATTGTGATTTCCAAAATGTGCACGGTTTTGCGCTTCTAAGCCAGTCAATTGTGTGTATGATCTGCATTGTTGCTGACACTGTTTTTTGCTCTCAGACAGAGCAAGTCGACCCAAACGATTCGTGTTGGAACAGGTGCAAATCCAAAATCTGGACATTCCTTCAAGATCCAGGTTCTTCCAAAAAAGCCAAGGTATGTTGGTGCTACGACTATGTTCTGTTCGCATTAGTAGTAGGGCCCGCTGTGGTTTAGCGGCTAGACGCTCGCATGCGGATCGGAAGGTCGTGGGTTTGGGTCCAGATGGAGGCTGGACTTTTTTTAAAACTGACCTTGGCTGCCAAGTCGACCCAGCCTTGAGTGGGTACCCTTTACAGTCCTGGGAAGTTGAGGCGGTCGGCGTGATGCTGACCACATCACCCAACAAGCGCCGTTGGTCTATAAAATATAGGTCTAACACTATATAGCCCATACGCCCGTTACGTGGTTAGTGCCATGTGAGAGATCGGACACAGTTCAGAGGAGCAGATGGATCACCACATTCTGGTTAGAGTGATGCAGCGGTGAGTGATGAGGTGATCTGGCAAATACTCCACGTTCAGAGGGAAGGCAAGACGGAATGCTACTGGCATAATTGGTAGAGGATGCGCTGGCTACTGAAAATGAGGACGGAGTGCTTACGAGAATGCCCAGAGTGCTGTGATGTCGATTCTTGGATCAACAACTCAACTCTGTAAATGGGAATGCGATGAAAACTGTTTTTTTTAAAGGGAAAAAAAGAGGAGCCAAGGGGGAACTAAAGTATTTCATACTAATTAATTTTTTTTTACCAAAGAACTCGCCATACGTTGATTGGTTACTCTTTCTAAGGTACATATTTCTTGCATTAGTTCTGTCCCATTCATCTGTTATCTTAACCATTCTATCTCGTTTGTTTCTATAACTCATCTATCGCTAAGCTTTTTTTTTTCAGTTCTATACGTCTGAGTTCTAAATGTTCTAAGGTACACAATCTTTAGGAAACACACCATTAAATTACAAACTACTTGAGACTGCAAGAGTTAACAACCATACCGGAGGGCTAAGTGGAAAACAAAAGGGCAAAAGGCAGATAGTGATATAACAAGGTGGACACAATCAATAGACGGACAAGAAGTAGTCTAAGAGAGTGTAAAATCAAGACGACAGACAGAGAAAGCTAGAGATCCATTGCCGGAAGTTTCACACTGTTGGTACGGCAGGCGAAAGATTGACTGTGGAGTAAGAAACACCAGTCTTAAACTGAAATACACCAATCACATCGTCACTTGTTACACTGTACATTACCATGGAAGTCTTAGCTTGACCACATATGAACAAAGGATCACGTGATGAGTATGTATGTGTTTGTGGGAAATTCACATGTAGGAAAAGATCTGCATTTCTAGTGTCGGACTGTTTGTGTCGGCACATTTGACAAATGCCTTATGCATGTAATGCATATGTATGCTACTGAATTTGCTGAGAATGTATTTTGGGTATTTTTGGGGGTTCTTTATTACTATCTCACACCAGATGACGTCACAGGACAGTCCTACATTTTAGATGGTTTTAACGACCCCAAAACATCTAGAACTAGCCCTAACCCCAACCCACCTACGTCCCACAGGAGAGTGCAGCCTAATTTCCACGACTGCATGTAGCCTGTCTACCACCCCCTGGAATATTAGACTGTCCCGTGACCTGTGGGTTTCCCTTGCTTGGGTTAGGATATTATTAAAGTACCACATTTATCACAAGGGACATTGGTACATTCTGTATGGGTTTTGCTGACACAGAAATGAAGCAACTATGGGGTGCCTAGCAATCACGACTGCTCTAGAGTTGGAACTACGTGTAGCTGATTATCTGGTGTGAGAAAGAAAACTGGTTTAAACTTTTTGTGAACATTGTCCACAGGCATACGCTTGGGTCTCCATCATCTTCGTCTTCGTGTCCATCTTTTCCTTCTGCGCAGAAACTCATCCAATGTTCAAAGTCAAAGCACGAGACATGACGCACTTTGCCTCTTTCTACGAATTCTTTAATGTGCAATCCATACCTTGGGCTCAAGTGCTCAGTGCAGTTCGACACAACGCAACAGTTCATGCAGAGACAACACCGCAGCCTCGACCGGACGCCTTTGCTTCTAGTACCAATTCCACAAAGTTGAACATGACTAAACAGAGAGCTTCAGGTATAGCTAAACGATCACTAAGCAAACACGCTTGCGAAACCAGAGCTAGTTTTGAAGGCAACAAAAATAATAATGATAACGACAGTGACTGGGGCAACAGGGACTTACCCCATCCCACCCTGATCGTTATGGATGCAATTTGTCTTTTCTTTTTCACATTAGAATATATAACTCGATTCGTATGCACGCCTAGTAAACTAAATTTCCTACGGGCTCTTCAAAATATTGTGGATTTTTTAGCGTTTGCTCCGGATTATGTAGAGTTGTTGTTTTTAATTATCGATCCTAGTCAGAAGGAGGGGGTAGCAATCATGGAAATGCTTTTTATTCTTCGCATTCTTCGACTTTTTAGGATTTTTAGACTTATTCGTCATGTTCCCGGCTTGTGGATTTTATTGTATACGTTAAAGGCGAGTTTCAATGAACTTATGCTGATGTGTGTATTTCTGTTGATTGGCATGGTTGTATTCGCAACTTTGGTTCATTTCGTGGAGCCGGATGGAACTTTTAACAACATTCCCGTTGGGTTTTGGTGGAGCGTCGTAACCATGACGACTGTTGGCTATGGCGATATGTATCCTCAGTCTGCGGCAGGGTATGTTATTGGGTCATGTTGCGCGGTGGCAGGGCTGCTCATGATTGCCTTTACAGTTCCAATCATCGTTAGTAATTTTGTACTCTACTACACACACGTCCAATACGGCTTGGCTCGTAGGGACAGAGAGAACGATCGAGAAAAGGAGGAGGGGGAAATAGAATTATTAAAATGCATAAACCGAAATGATGTCGAAAAAATCGGATCGTTATTGTCATTAACTTCAAGAAGAAAGTCACAAAAGATCGCGAAATCTCCAGCAACAACCACAAAGAACGGAAAGTCGTACACGCCTGTTAGCACCAAATCAGATACCGAAAACGCAGCAGGCGCATCACGAGATTCCATAGAAAAGAACCTATGTGAACATACAACTGTAATAGAAATGGGAGAGAAGGTTGTATAGGGACTCTGTTGGGGAGGGGATTATGGTAGATTACTGTGTGTTTATCTTTTAATGCTGCCTTGTAGTTTAAAAATGTACATCGGAAATGTGTTAAGGACAATGGTTCCATAGAACGTTGCGTTCAAGAGTAACTAGAGACAACAGACTTCGATGCCAAGTAAATACTAACTGAAGGAATGCCGGTGCAGAACTTTGCCGAGGTAGACAGGCACCGCAAATGCTGCAGGTATGCACTCGTTTTTCTCCTATTATTCTGCCTTTTAACCCTCATTGGAGCAGAGGCCCTCAACTAATTCACACCAAGTCGCTCTATCTGTCGCTATTTCATACAGCTTAACCCTGTGTCTTCGCCATCTTTATAACGCCACTCTCTAGCTTCCTTCTCCGTGTGTGTGTTTTTTTTTTTTTTGGTTTGTTTTTGTTGGGTGTGCCTTCCTTTATTTCTATGCCCCTGTGGATTCCAGCGCAAAGACATTCTATTTATGTTGTTCTCGGGTTTTCAAACCATTTGTGCTATCCAAAGCCAGCGTCTTTTGTCCACCTCCTAGTCCGATTGAACTTGTTAGTTCTGACCCAAAGCTCTACATAAGTGATTATATTATACTATTTAATTCCCTCTATTCTGCAAAGGCACCAGTTAATAAATGTTAGCAGTTCATTAGTAATTGCATAAGCTGTTTCCCCGTGTCCCGCTCCATGCATGCAGTATAAAGATACCAGGGCTGGCAAGCTGGCCTTCAAGTGGTAACCAAGCTGTGTGCAACAGTGGAGGACATGCGTCACCACACCCTTCATAGAGATTTCAGTGCTTTATTAATACACTACCCAAAACAGGATAAATCCACAGGTCACGGGACAGTCTAATATTTCAGGGGGTAATAGATAGGTTGCATGCAGTCATGGGACATAGGCTTCATGCAATAGTGGAACCTGGGCTGCATTCTCTCGTTTGACGTAGGTGGGTTGGGGTTAGGGCCAGTTCTATATGTTTTTGGATCATTAAAAGCATCAGAAAGCCAGGAAATCCAGTCTTACCACCCTCTGAAATGTTGGACTGTCCTGTGACCTCATATGTGAGTAGGATATTAATACAGCACCCAGATTTCTGCCCTTTTCACTCGACAACTATTGGCAAGAAAAAAAGATAAGAATCAAAAGACCTGAAAGTTACTATCAGAAATGTTATACATGTGATATGACACAGTGCAGAACAATCTGTTTACACAACATTACCAGAAAAATGTTCGTCAGTTAGACGTCACATGAAAATTACCGCCTAGGTTGTTCTAAACTTAATGTGATCTAGAATATTCTATATTTCAAATATTGCCATCAAGAATAATTGGTATCTCCCTGCGAGACTCCACTATTTAGAATGTTCTGTCAAGAGCTCTTGATCATATCAAATGGTACCCTTTTGATGTTATCACAGAGAGCAGTCTTTTACTAGAAAATAACCATCTAGGACTCGAGAAATATCCACTGTATCCGTAAAGTCAGAATGCGCATTTTACCGGTCACAGGATTTAAAAAAAACAAAGAGAGAAATGAGAAATATGCACCTAATAAAAGAGAAAGTAAGTTTTGTAGCATGATGTGCAAGCTGAAAAAGTACGAAGTGAGTTTTCCTTTCAAATAATGCAGACACAAACAATACATTGCACAATTTATTGCCAGGCATATTTCGCTGTATCTCGTCAGGTGCGTTATTACAGAGTTATATCAAATCAAGCACAAACCTAAATAAAACCAACTAAAATGCTAATAGTTTCTTTCGACACATTGTGTGTGTGTGTGTTTAGGCCGCCGGAAACGCACTGAAATCACGTGACTTATCATGGTAGCTTCACATTCACTATAATTCCGTTTGCTTGCAAAGAAAGGGGTTGTTAATTTTAATTGTTTCATTTGGTGAAGATTTCACATCTTAATTCGTTGATTTCCTGTGACTGGTCAAAAGTGCACGATGACTTTACGGTCACACTGTATTTCCATGTATTGATTGGCACTGGAAAAAGCAGAGTAGTGGAGTAAAGAACCAGTTCATAACGAATTGTATTCATAAGATATCATCTTCCTTAGCAAACTGTCAGTGAGAATGAACGATTGAAAATCCAGCATTTTTAGCTTTATATTAACATGAATTACGGTGCTTTATTAATATCTTACCCAAGATGACGTCACAGGACAGTCCAATATTTTAGAGGATGGTAAGACTAGGTTTCCCGGCCTTTTGATGCTTTTAACGACCCCAAATATAGAATTGGCCCTAACCCTAACCCACCTACGTCCCATGACTGCATGCAGCCTATTTACCACCCCCTGAAATATTAGACTGTCCCGTCCTGTGGATTTCCCATTTGGAAAATTACTGATTGATATTGTATCTAACCTGCCGCGACGAGAGCGACGTTCTGTACAGGACCTGCTGTTGATTGACTGATTGCAAGTTAGAAAACCCTTTTCACGTTTTAATGACGTTTCTTGGTACACATTTTCGACTTTGGCGTTTCGAACGAGCTTCGTAATGCCGGAGTACCGGGTTTCATCCCGACTGCAGACGGTTTGTCTTGTGTAACGATACAGAGAGCTGACTGTTCAGGATCAGTGGTTGATAGTGGTAGAAGCAAACGGAGTTTGTCTAGAAAAGCCACAACACCCAAAATAAAATGCTGGGGTTCATTCTGCAACGTCCTGTAAATAAAAGGAAACTTTGATTTCTGGGTACACCTAGTCGAAAATGTGAACCAAGAAATGTCGTGAAAACATAAAAAAAAAAGGTTTCCTTACTCGAATTAATCAATCATTTCATCAATCATTCAATCAATCAATCAGCAGGTCCTTTACAAAAGTCGCTCTCGTCACGGCACGCCTCACGGTCTTTCTTTCTCTAGCCAATTCTCCAACCCTATGTGCTTTTATAGCCATATTCACTGTTGTCATGGACTTATAGTCCGTGTTATTCGAATTACAATAATACATCAGTTTTGTTTGACTGCCACATTGTGCTGCCCGTCGTGGCGCAGTTATTCATCAGGTACTTTGTTCCTCATTTATGAGCTACGTCGTCTCGAGGCATGGTGTCCGCCTGGATAAACAAAACAGATGGACAGAAAGACAGACATAATTCTGACCATCAAAGAACCTGTCCCGCCCCTCCCCCTCCCCCCCCCCCCCACTCCCTTCTTGCCGTGGGTGTGCCGTGTCCATCGATTTTTCTTCGCTATCATTCCGTAAATGGAAGCCAAGTGACTGTAATAATTCTTGCTTACTGCCCTTCCCTGTGTACTGCCTTTATAGATCACTGTAGGGGCCAAAACTCCAGGTGTTTCATTGGCAAACAGTAGAACAGTGTAGTTCGTGAACCTATGAAATATTTGGCTATCTTTCGAATAACGGTCCTAAATTATCGAGGCGAAAAATATACCCTAACAGGGCCTCAGTCACGTGTAAATTGCGCACTTCCGGGGAATATAACGCCACCGCCGAATTGCGAACTACTGGCGACTTCCGCTACCGCGGCGGGGATTGGGGCTAAACTAGATGGCTAGGACCCACGATCAAATGAAATGACGGAAGCTGGAGGAGATGCGGAAGCTGCTGCTCGTGAATCCCAGCCATCTAGTTTAACCCCAATCCACGCCGGACGTAGCGGCGTGGGATATTCTCTCGGCAGTGGCGAAAGTCACCGGAAGTTCGCAATTCGGCTGTGGCGTTATAGTCCCCGGAAGTGCGCAATTGACAAGTGACTGAGGCCCTGTTACGTTATTTTTTTCGCCTCGATAATTTAGGACCGTTATTCGGACGATAGCCAAATATTTATGTATGTAGATTCTTTTTTTTTTTTTTTTTTTTTGATGCGTTGTATCGTGCTCTGTTCTTCCATATTATGCTCTGCTTCTTTAATAAGGCATTTAGTAAGTTAATTATTCTCACTGCACATCGGCCAAGTCCATCAGCACTCAGATCCGATCTTCAGAATACACCTCCGTATAGTGGCTACCTGTCTAGTGTGCCTGTTTGGCGACACCTCTTTTGACCTGAAGTTCTTGTAGTCTTTTGAGTATTACCGATCCAACGTTGTCTACTGAATCATCTTATCGTCCTGCTTTCTTGAGATCATCGAGAATTTCGGCCCCGTCCTTTGCCTTCCCTGTACCTCCCGTGTCCCTGTCTGTAAGCCAGTCTGTTCGTTCATTCCTTCTTACCCCAGTGTGTCCTGCCAAAAAATGAAAATAATCTCTTTCAGACGATATTTCCTCAGCGACATTGTCTTGAAATCCACCCCGTCTCTGTGTTCTTAAGTATGCTTATGGAATCACCTAGAAAGCACGCATGGGGAAATAAGCGTGTTCGTGGCTTAGGCGTTGCGAGTCTATCTCGTAATTTCAACGTACCCCGATCGTAACCCACTGCTGGCTGCGTGGATTTTTGTCATGGTATGGTTCGTCGCAGGTCGAACCAGCCTAAAATGGGTACCAGGATGGCTGTTCTGGGGAAGTAAAAACGGCTGGCGTAATTCTGACCACATTACCCATCTAGTGCCGATTTGTCTGTAAAAATATGGGTTCTCTACCTATATGACCGACGCGTCTGAAGGCGTGAGAATGGATTATTACTTTACATAGGGATATAGGGCATTTATATTTCTCTGCCCTCTCTGTTGCTTAGGATTGTTTTCCTAAAAAGTAAAAGCTGCTAGTATTCACCACAAAGTGTATATTCCATTCGAACTGAAACAATTTGATGCCGGTAAAAAAAAAGATTCTGGTACTGCATGCCGCCATTAAAAAAACTACTACTGCTACTGTTATTACTACTGTTACAACTACAACTACTTCAACTACTAGTGCTGCTGTTGGTACTGCTGCTACTACTACTACTACTGCCTCTGCCACTACCACCACCACCACCATTATTTTTATCAATACTGCCACTACTACTGTCATCACTACTGCCAATACTGCTGCTAATATTACTACTACTACTGCCTCTGCCAC